TTATCTTGCTGGGATCCTATGATCCCTGCTGACTTCCTGCCCCTGGGGCAGGGGGCTGGATTCGATGATCCTCCGGGGTCCCTTCCAGCCCAAATGTCTATGAAATAAAGTCTATGAAATACGGAGAACAGCACAGGGTAACGCTATGTACACTGGATGGCACTCTGCACAGAACTACAAGGCTGCTGCAAGAACTCTGGATGGACTGCAGCTGGGACTAACTATCTTTTGATTTTTGATCACTTTCTGATAGAGGTGCACCGATACATTGGTCTGATATTGGATTGTCACTGATTTAAAAAAAAAAACAAAAAAAAACATGAACTTTATTGGAAATTGGCCTGCTGTGGCTGATAACATGGCTGATAAATGCCCCATGCGTGCGCACAGCCGCAGTGCAGCACATAGGCAGCAAGGGCCACAATCCAGCAGCTTGGAGAGCTGCATGCAGCTGATAAGTCTGTTGTGGTGGAAGGGGAGGGGGAGAGGGCATGGGGGGCAGATCAAGGCCCCACACAGTGAGGGAGGGAGTGGGGCTAAGGCTGGGGCTCAAGTAGGCACTGGCTAGCTATGGTGGGACGCAGGATGGAGTCGCCGCAGGTTGCGGGGTGGTTCCTGCTGGTGGAAGGGCTCCCTGGGAGGGCACAGGGGGAGGCATGTGCCCCCAGATCTGTGCATGGACCGGGGCAGCCTGGGGCCAGGGCTGTGCGGGGCTCTTCCCAGAAGGGGCTAGATCAAGCTGTGCTTGGGGTGGGGCAGGCGGTGGCGCTGGGAGGGAGTGTTGGGGGACTACAGCAAATTTTGGGGTGGCTGTAGCCCCCCTGTAGCCCTCTCCCAGCACTGGTGCTGCCCACCCCAAGCGCAGCCCATTATAGCCCCCACTGAGTGAGTCCCACAGCCCCAGCCTCTGCCTGCAGTAGCAGCCCACCCTGCACCACATGCAGATCTGGGAGCATACTCTTCCCATGGCTCCCAGTGTGCACGTAGCAGTGGGAACCACTCACTCTCCACTCACCCCGCTGGACGAGTTGTGTCTTCATCCCACACCCTGCCCTGCCCCAGCTAGGCAGTCCCTGCCCCAGCCCCACTCACTCTCGCACTGCATGGGCCTCTATCTGCCCCCCCACCACATGCCCCTTCTCTTCATAGTTTCGTAGTTGGTAAGGTCGGAAGGGACCTGAGCAGATCATCGAGTCCAACCCCCTGCCATGGCAGGAAAGAGTGCTGGGCTCAAACGACCCCAGCAAGGTGTTCATTTAGCCTCCTCTTAAAGACCCCCAGGGTAGGAGCCTGCACCACTTCTCTTGGAAGTTGGTTCCAGATCCTAGCCACCCTGACCGTGAAGTAGCGCCTCCTGATATCTAGCCTAAATCTACCCTCTGCCAGCTTGTGACCGTTATTCCTGGTCACTCGTGGTAGTGC